CACATGGGGAGAAATACTGTGTTATAACATTGTTCTCTCTCTCTCTCTGGCATAAATCCTATTGCTATTTCCAGGTATAGTACACCCACAGAATCAATGATATATACATGAGTCCAAATTTATTATTCAGCAATTGATTATTCAATGGATTGAGTTTGACTAGCAATTACAGTCTCTCTCTGTGTCTGTGTGTGAGAACGAATGAGAGAAAGAGAGGATTTTAATTTTGCCTAAACACAATTCTGCACACTCCACAGGACACCAGACTGCAATCTTGCTGGGTGTTCTCATGCCAATCTGGAATGGACGCCTCTCTTCTATTAGATTCAAATGGACCATTTTTAGGTCCAACATAACATCCCCATTAATTTGCCTCTTTCCTCTTGCAATGGGAGATTCAGCTCTTTGGTAGCTGATGTTCAAACACAAGTTGAGGACAAAAGCAAATTAAATAGTTTGCTTTCTGCTTATTAACTATAATGCATGTGTCCTAGTAAGTGCACGATTAGGTAGGAATTTTGAAAACTGGAGCATCTATTGCTGTGAGGGAACAGATGCCCCATAAGTCCTGTGGCAAGAAAGCTCATAGCAGGTAGACTACCTTATGCATATTTTGAAGAGACAAGGGACCATGCTGTTCAATTAATGCAAATTCTGTGTGCATGGAAGTAATTGCCCCAGGTGAACCACATGGGATATGAAGGAGAGCTGCAGCCTGTATTGACTTAGTGGAGCATTTAGATAATAGAGTAGAAATTAACCATTCTTTAAAATATAAAACATAAGCTAGGATATATGCCTGCCACACCTTGAGGCATGTGGCCTTGTAAATAGCAACCTTCTACAAGCCTCCTAAACTAGTTATTTGTTATGTATATGATTCAGATTACTTACTATATTGTATACTAGCTGTCCCCTGCCATGCGTTGCTGTGGCTCAGTCTGGTGATCTGGAAAATAAAGTAATGGTTTCTAATATATGTAATTTCTTTATGCTTGTGGGTAAACAGTATTTCTTGTTGTTTCTTTCTCACTGTTGATGTGGAAAGTGTCTGGTTTGCCTACTCTGGAATATGGAACATATCATTGTCCTTCTTTAGGGGTCCCTTTCAAATCTATGATACTATATCTCTGTGTGTGAGAATCATATATATCTGTCTCTATCTATGGGTGAATGGCTCTTTGTCAGGAGGGCTTTGATTAGATTTTCTTGCCCTGGTGAAGGGAGTTGGACTGGATGGCCTTAAGTATTTTCTGATGGTCATGGGGCTTCTGTGTGGGAAATTTGCCCCAATTCTGTCATTTGTGGGGTTTCAGAACGCTCTTTGATTGTAGGTAAACTATAAATCCCAGTAAGTACAACTCCAAAATGTCAAGGTCTATTTCCCCCAAACTCCATCTGTGTTCATATTTGGGCGTATTGAGTGCTTGTGCCAAGTTTGGTCCAGATCTATCATTGTTTGAGTTCACAGTGCTCTCTGGATGTAGGTGAACTACAACTCCAAAACCAAAGGACAATGCCCACCAAACCCTTCCAGTATTTTCTGTTGGTCATGGGAGAACTGTGTGCAAAGTTTGGTACAATTCTATTGTCGGTGGGGTTCAGAATGCTCTTTGATTGTAGGTGAACTATAAATCCCAGCAACTACAACTCCCAAATGACAAAATCATTTTTTTTGAGTGAAGGACATACATTGGATTATTAGGTGTCTTGTGTCCAAATTTGGTGTCAATTCGTCCAGTGGTTTTTGAGTTCTGTTAATCCCACAAATGAACATTACATTTTTATTTATATAGAAGTATGTGTTGGTATACAGTTTTCCTGTAACTCTATGTTGTTTGAGGTTGTGGGAGGGACTGCAGACCATGTGATAAGATCTGGGACTATTCAGACAGAGACTCCATTTTAGAAGTCAGTGTCGTGTTGCGCTTAGTCTTATATAGTCAGTTGTGTTGAGGTTGTGTTCAGTTTGCATTAAGAGAGTATGCATCTATATACATAAAAATGTAATGTTCGTTTGTGGGATTAACACAACTCAAAAACCACTGGACGAATTGACACCAAATTTGTACAGCGTACACCTAACAAGCCAATGTATGTCCTTCACTCAATTTTTTTTGATTTTGTCATTTGGGAGTTGTAGTTGCTGGGATTTATAGTTCACCTACAATCAAAGAGCATTCTGAACTCCACCAACAATGGAATTGAACCAGATGTGGCACACAGGACTCCCATAAACAACAGAAAACACTGGAAGGGTTTGGTGGGCATTGACCTTGAGTTGGGGAGTTGCAGTTCACCTACATCCAGAGAGCACTGTGGATTCAAACAATGATGGATCTGGACCAAACTCAGCACGAATACTCCATATGCCCAAATATGAACATTGGTGGAGTTTAGGGAAAATTGACATTGACATTTGGGAGTTGTAGTTACTGGGATTTATAGTTCTCTTACAATCAATGAGCATTCTGAACTCCACCAACGATAGAACTGGGCCAAACTTCCCACACAGAACTCCCATGACCAACAGAAAATACTTAAGACCATCTAGTCCGACTTCACCAGGGCAAGAAACGTAATTAAAGCCCTCCCGACAAAGAGTCATCCAACCATAGATATAGTTAGCTATATATGATTCACACACACACACACACACACACACAGTATCATAGCTTTGAAAGGGACCCCTAAAGAAGGACAATTATATGTTGCATGTTCCAGAGTAGGCAAACCAGACAATCTCCACATCAACACTGACAAAGAAACAACAAGAAATACTGTTTACCCACAAGCATAAAGAAATTACATATATTAGAAACCAACACTTTCTCATTATTTTATTTTCCAGATCACCAGACTGGGCCACAGCAACGCATGACAGGGGATGGCTAGTTAGACATAAGACAGAGACGAGACTGCAATAGAATGCCTTAGAGAACTTACTATTAAAACTTTTGACTCATAAGTAATGTACCTGTATGCTGAATACATGAAGTTTGTAAGTAAACCAACTATGTTATTTTTAACAAAGATTATTATTTTTCTCTCTTGAGAGCATGATTTAAAACCAAATATAATTTATGGGAGAGTATATGTTTTTGGGCAACTGAAATAACACTTCTGAAGATCTGCTATATATTTTGTGCATTGGCATAATCTTTGTCCTTACAGTTCAAAGAGATAACCAGGTATATCTGTCTAACAACTAAGAAACCTAATTTGTCTTGCATGAATACTAGTGGATATATACCACTAAAGAGAAGATTCACTCAATTGAGTTTTTAGCTCTTTCCAGGAAGATCATACTTTACAAAAGGGTTATGATTTTTCCAAATGGTAATGAATGTCAATCTCCAAAAGGTCACACTTCCAAAAGGTTTTGAAGATTCTGGTTTTCCAAAATGTTATGATCTCAAAGGTCATCCTTTCCCAAAAGTTACAGTAGTTTTAAAAGTGCTGCTTCATTCTTTTTCCCCATCCTCCCCCTTTTCCTGCTTTTTAAAATGTAGACAGTAACAGCAAGTACAATGAACATTAATACCAACAGCAACATCGTGCCTAGTCCATTAGATTCGATAAGGAGAATATTTTAAAAATACGTGTGACTGGAAAATTGAAGTAATACAAAATATTTCATGCTCCAATGGTTCCAGTTTGTAGCAGCGCTGATTTACATCAAATACTTTTCATAGCTGCATCAGGGAAATGCCTCTCCAATTACTGCAGCCTATCATATATAAAAAGCAATTATCTGGAAGACAATGGAAATTATCTAATTTGTACACACTGCGTTTTAGTGTGTCCATAACTTGGCTCTTTACTTCTTAACAAAAAAATAAAAATAAAAATGACAGAATAGTTATCCAGGAAAAAAGAGATGAGAATAATACTACTAGCAGCAGCATCACCATTATGAGCCATGTTCCATAACAAAATAGATTGATGCCAACAAAAGCTTTGAGAGTTCAGGTGCGTTTTTTTTTTGCACTGAAATAGGGAGCATGCTTCACTTCCCCAAACTTTATGCTTAAAAGTATGTTGATAACTATTACCTCCAGAGAGCCCCAACTGCAATTTTACTCTATAAATTGCTTTCCTATGTGTGTCACTTCGGAGAAAAGGTGATAAGGAAAAGTAAAGGTTTCCCCTGACATTAAGTCTAGTTGCGTTCAACTCTGGGGGATGGTGCTCATATCCATTTCTAATCCAAAGAGCTGCCGTTGTCCGTAGACACCTCCATGCGGCCAGAAAGACTGCATGGAGCGCTGTTACCTTCCTGCAGAAGTGGTATCTATTGATCTACTCACATGTGCATGTTTTTGAACTGCTAGGTTAGCAGAAGCTGGGTCTAACAGCAGGAACTCACCTTGCTCCCTGTATTCAAACCACGGACCTTTCGGATAGCAAGTTCAGCAGGTCAGCTGTTTAACCCATTGCGCCACCAGGGGGGGCCTAAGCAGGTGATAGGATACTGAATTCTGTCACTGCAGATCACTACCATTGAGTCAAACTACTGGAAATGAACCTGAGATCTTTATCATATAGTCTTGTCCCATCTCTGTACAGTATGACCTCAGTATCTGTGGAGATATGTTCCTAGACTTCTTGTGGATACACAACATCATGGATAACACCAAACTCTATTGAAATGTGTGACTTCTAGCCCAAAAGAGTTATATTGGAGGACCTAGAAAATGTCTACAGATAATATGAGGGTTGAATGAAAAGTAATGCCACCACCTTCGTTACTTGGGTTTGGATGGGAATGTTTTAATAAATCAAATGCAGAAATAATCCTTAGAATGTGCTCTTTAACTACCACTATTCACTTTTCCACAATGGCCATTCAGTTCACCAATTGCTAGTTCACTAAAGAAATGCAAGGAAGCAACAGCCTCTCTTGCAAAAGACTTTTAACTTTTTAAAACTTATTTCTTTTTCATACACCATTTCATTCATGCAGTACTGAGGAGTAGAGAACGACAGTAGCCCATTACCTTTCTAGCCTCTGCATGGTCATGGCTAGTGTCTTATTCAACTCATCGATCATGCGGCAACCTGAAGAGTGAATGGGTAACGTGCTGGATCCAGAAGGCATGTGAGGGTTGTGGCTGCCATACTGATGCTGGTGCGCTAACTGTGACGGTAAAACCGTGTGGTGATGAGAACCCATTGATTGCTGGGAGCTCTTCTGTATGGAATAAGATGCGAGGGAGAGGTCTGGTCCCCCTAAAGGCATGCAGATCATGACTTTCTTTGGAGGTAGCGGAGGCGACAGTTTGACTGGCATACAAGGCAGTTTCATGGGACCACCAGGATCTGAAATAGAAAAAAAAAATGGCGAAATTCAGGCATAAGCACAGGTGGGAAAGTAAGACACCCGGGCCTCCATCATATCCCCCACATAAACCATAATGACCATCTGTGGGTCCTTCCAGGCAAGCTCTATATCCCAGGATCTGATCCCAGATTTTTTGTTTATCCCAGATTATCTGGCAGTGTGGACCCATATAATCCAGTGTAAAAAAGAAAACCTAGGATCAGATCCTGGGATATAGGGCCTACCTGGAAGGGCCCTGAGTTGTGCTCTCTCATGCAGCACATGTGAGAGGATACTGCAATCAAAAGAAAGGATCCTCTCATATCAACACATCAATCAGTTGCATCCATGTTGGCTGTGCCATTCCCACACATTTTGCAATTTGATTGTTTTTTCATACTTCATCTTCCCATTCCATTAAAAAAAATCAACACACCGAGTTATTATCATATTAACTTTTCTCTGTTGAAATGAATAGAAAAGTGAAAATATTCTACCCTAAAGCAATCTGTGTTTCATTCTCATCCCAAAACATCTCAAATCAAGGTAGGGACACTAAGATTGCATTTGGCCTCCATCATAAATTCACTTTTTGTGATTATATCATTTCATGAGCGCCAGACCTATGTTAGTCGGAATAGTCATCCCTGGAAGGGTGCCAGTCCCTAAACCACTAGTTGCTGGTCTCTGGCAAGTTTCCAGGAAATAAAGAAACTATTTTATCTAATGGGTACACATTTAGTGCTAGTCCCTTGCACATGCGGGAAAAATTCCGGTTCCCTGTATAAGCCTGAGAAGCACTTGATCACAGTTGTTCAGGTCAGCTAGAAATATCACATGTTTCTTACGAGTGGAACACGCATTTATCCAGTCAATGAGATTCAACCTAAATGAGATTCAACCTAAATTTCCTGTTGGGTTCCTAGCAAGGTTCAATATAAAATCTGCTGTTTTTTTATGTTAAGCACAAACATGTAGCCATGCATATGATGGTGAGAGGGTATCTAAAGAACACAGTTATATCAAGTTCGATACTCCTTTAACTGCCATGGTTTCATCCTACGGAATCCTGAGATTTGTCTGTTAGTAAGATACTTGGTGCCCCATGCAGTCATGCTAGCCGCATGACCTTGGAGGTGACTATGGACAACACTGGCTCTTTGGCTTAGAAATGGAGATGAGCACCACCCTCCAGAGTTGGACACAACTAGACTTAATGTCAGGGAAAACCTTTACCTTTTAAGATACTTTGCATTCTCTGAAAAAGATACTGCGTCTCTGAACTACAGTATTGGAGCTTTCTCTCGCAGAAAACTTTAAGAACCACACCAAACTATAAATGCCAGAATTCTGCAGGATGCAGCCATGACATTTCTATCAAACAACTACAACTGCACAGTCTTAATATGTTTATCAGTGCAATATCAGTGCCGTGTTAATATGTTATCAGGGTTAATATATTATCAGAGCTGCCAGTGGCACAATGGGTTAAACCCTTGTGCCAGCAGGACTGCTGACTGACAGGTCAGCGGTTTGAATCCAGGGTGAGTGGGTTGAGCTCCCTCTGTCAGCTCCAGCTCCCCATGCGGGGACATGAGAGAAGCCTCCCACAAGTATAGGAAAACATGAAACATCCAGGCATCCTTTGGGAAATGTCCTTGCAGATGGTCAATTCTCTCACACCAGAAGCAACTTGCAGTTTCTCAAGTCGCTCCGGACATGAAAAAAGTGCAGTAATGGAACTTCCACGCCTTTGCTAGCTTTCTACTTGCACACCATTTTTTTATTATTGAATCTGTAAATATTATTTAGTTCATCTAGCACAGTGGTTCCCTACATTTTTTTTTGACAAGGGACCACTTTGACCAGGGACCACTCTTCCATCATTAGTACCAAAAGTCTTACAAATCAATTTTTGGTCACCTTTAGATTTGGTTTGGTTTTTTGGGGTGCTAATTCTGAAGATGCCTGCCATAGATGCAGGTGAAATGACAGGCGAGAATGCTTCTAGAACATGGCCATACAGCCCGAAAAACCTACAACCCAATTGGGTTCTATTGTTTTTAAAAATAAATAAATGCAGAACCTATTTGTGTTTTATTGTGTTTTAACATTTTATATGTTTGTGTGATTTAAAGTTAATTTTCACTTGCCGCTCTGGGTGCCATTTTTGATAAATTGTGACCTAAATTTGACAAATAAAGAAGCTCTGAAACTGTAGTGCTTGGTGAAGTGGAATCCACACTCTTCACAAAACCCAGGTTCACATAGGTCACTCCAGGGGAGGAGAAAATCAGAAGTAAAGTCCATTTTCGCACTTCTGCCCATTAAACACACACATACGCTTAAACACAGGACATGATGAAATCTCAAAAGATTTTCTGTCATCCATTTTTCAGTGAAACTCTTTTTGCCATCATGGGTCAACTGTGATAGCTTCTGCAAAGTGCTAGCAAACATCATTACATCTGCAATCACTCTCCGTTATTTATGACCAGTGTGTCTTTAATTTTCCTTTCACAAAATCCGTAACAGAACAAGTCTCACCCCACCTCCCTCCCCAAAAAGCCCAAATGCTGATGCTATGTTGAAGAGTGGGAGGTCTTCATTCTGACTGTGAGAATTCTCATTATATGAATTCCTTCAAACAGGACCCAAGTACGCCTCTGGAGAAATTAGTAATGGAATAGGGTTAATTTACTTTCATATTGGAAGGGATGATTCATTAGGGCTGATTGCTCATTTCTAGAGACTATGCAAATCAGAATCAATCCCCAAAGGAAAGCATAAAGGATCTGAGAAATGTATGCCTTTTGACCCCTTGCACTCTGCTTCTAAGTGTGTTTGTTCAGTAAGGAGCCTTTCTTACTTCACTGAGATGATACATCTCAACCTCATGTTATGTCAGCCAGATGACTCTGGACTATAAAGTCTTTACTGCACAATCTTCTCAGCAGGGGAAGAGCTGATCCCAGGTGAATAGCTGACACTGAGAAAGGGACTATTAAACCTTGGCCATACCCGCTGCGTATTTCTCTCTCTCTCCAGGTCTTGTACTCTTTAAGATTCTAGACCACTGTCCCAAAATAAATGTCATTAATTTTTAATAAATCCCAGAATCTCTAGTCACCTTGGATTTCAAATCACAATTTCCAGACTTCACAGCGAGGCTATAATGGAAGCAAAAATGCCATGGATTCATCTCGTTTATGCACTGCCAATTCATTGTTTTTCACCCTTTTCTGAGAACTTCCAACCTGAGAATGAAGCCATCAGAGAAAGCTCCATGATAGCTGAGGCCCCATCTACACTGCCATATAATCTAGTTTCTGAATCCAGATTTTTTTATTATGTCAGAAGTGACTTGAGAATATACTGCAAGTCGCTTCTGATGTGAGAGAATTGGCCATCTGCAAGGACGTCGCCCAGGGGACACCCCGATGTGTTATCATCCTGTGGGAGGCTTCGCTCATGTCTCTGCATGGGAAGCTGGGGTTGACAGACAGAAGCTCACTCCATCTCGTGGATTTGAACCGCCAACCTTCAGGTCTTCAGGTCAGCAGTTCAGCTAGCACACGGGTTTGACCCATTGCGCCACCGCAGCTCCTTGAATCCAGATTATCTGCTTTGAACTGGATTATATGACAGTGTAGATTAGCGGTTCTCAACCTGCAGGGTACCAGGTGTTTTGGCCTACAACTACCAGAAATCCCAGCCAGTTTACCAGCTGTTAGGATTTCTGGGAGTTGAAGGCCAAAACATCTGGGGACCTACAGGTTGAGAACCACTGGTGTAGACTCATATAATCCAGCTCAAAGCAGATACTCTGGATTCAGAAACTGGATGATATGGTAGTGTAGATATAGTCTTAGAGCATGGAGAAAGATCTAAGAAAGCATCTCCCTCTCCAAGGCTGAGTTCTTTGAAAATGAATTTAAAGGGACGCTTCCAACCGATATTCTGATGCGTGGTTCCCATAAATGTGCACGTACATTACTAGCTGTGGCATAAATATTTGCACATATGGAAACTGGCAGGTACACCTATCTGGCACCCAGGATTGTTTAGAGCTTCTGGGTCAGCATATATTAACTGGAAAAGCTAGTCTTACCCTGTGTGATTGTGAATTGACCCTTATAAGGATATTACCCATGACTAGCATCTAGTCTTTGACTAAAATTAATAGAGATGGTTGTTTGATCGCTTCATGGGATCATTCAATATATATTAATTGTATTGTATTTTTTTTGTTTATTGCTTTTGTTTATTGATGTACTGTTGGGCTTGGCCTCATGTAAGCTGCTCTGAGTCCCTTGGGGAGATGGTGGAGGGGTATAAATAAAGTATTATTATTATTATTATTATTAATAATAATTAAAATTTTAAAAACAAAAAGAAAATAATAATAATAATAATAATAATAATAATAATAATAATAATATAATAGCAAGCTTGGATTTTCTTTTCCTGACCTCTTTGCAGAGACATTACAAATGGATATTGTTTTAAGAAGAGAATGAGACCTGCTTGCTTGTGTTTACAAAGGAGGAAACGACCAGGGATATTAATCACAAACATTCTCTTAATTGCTCTGTGACTAAAAGAAAAGCTTAGAGGCAGATGGTAGAAGTGGAGAAGGCTTAGGCAGGGCTCCCAGGCAGGCTGTTTAACAGCTCAACTTGTACTAAGGAATAAGCAGAGCCTGGAAATGCTACTATATGGGGCAAGGGTTAGATATAACCACAAAGAACAAGAAATAAAAGATCACAATCAATAGAAGGGGCAAAAACAAACCAGGTTGCTGAGAAGGTAAGGCAAGGAGGCTACTGTGATAGCTGAAGCAAGGCAGAAAAGAGCCCAATGCTCATTTAATTGGGCAATAGTGCTATTGTACCCCAATGGCCCAAAAAGTTCTGAAACCTATGAACTATTTTTAGCACCAATGGAGCAGAAAACCAGTTACAGTGGCCTCTTGGTACCTGCTCAGGGTTGGGTCTTGGACCTCCCCACCCCGGTGGATACCAAAATTCACAGACACTAAACTTCTGTTTAGGTACCGCTCCGGCGGGAAGGTAACGGCACTCCATGCAGTCATGCCGGCCACATGACCTTGGAGGTGTCTACGGACAACGCTGGCTCTTCGGCTTAGAAATGGAGATGAGCACCACACCCCAGAGTCAGACATGACTGGACTTAATGTCAGGGGACTACCTTTACCTTTACCTTTACCTTAAACTTCTGTTATATGCAATTGTGTACTAAAATTGTGTCCCTTATATAAAATGGCAAAACAAGCATTTATTTTAGTAAAAAAATTATCAAGCTGTGGACAGTTGAATTCATGAATGTAGAATCTGTGGATATGGAAGGCTGGCTGTAACTAGAAATTAACACCACAATCCTAACATCAAAGTGCACTGGCTATAAAGATGAAGCTCAAGCCTGCTGAAAGAAGAACCAGGGAATGCTAGAGCAAAGAAGAGGAAATTTACACCAGATTCAGAAGGCAATCCTAAGTAATCTCCAGCCTCTCTAGGCTAGGAGGCAGGCCTGTAGCCAGGTTAGGGGTTCAACCCCCCCCCCCCGGAAATTTTCAGGTTAAAAAAAAACCTGGTTTACTCATGAATTTTAACTGGTTAACCAAATCTCTACACTAAGTCTATAAGATGCAAAAAATAAAATAAAATAAGAGTCCCTCCAGAACTGCAAGCACCAGACCTGCAACCCCGAATTTTTTTTTCTGGCTACAACCCTGCTAGGAGGGGTTGGGATTCAGAATAGCTTTAAATAAAGATGTGGCTACAGAGGGTAGAGCAATGGTTCCCAACCTTTTTTTGAACAGGGATAACTTTCCAACATTAGTACCAAAAGGGTTATTAAACGGTTTTTGGTCAACTTTAGATTCAGTTTAATTCTTTGGGGTGCTGATTTAGAAAACTGCATTGGATAGACCACATCGGCTTTAGTTTTTGATACAGAACATATACCATCCAGTAGTATATGGTGATGTGGTCTATCCAATACAATTTCTTGAATCAGCATCCCAAATAACCTCAGGAACAGGCCTATAAATGAAGACACCAATTTTTTTTTTGGTTGGGCTGTGTACTTATCCATAGTAGTAATGGTGAGGCCGCGGACCATACTTTAGTTCTAGCAGACCACTGGTGCTCCATGGACCATGGGAACCAGTGGAGCAGAGAAATGAGGACCTTCTTCTTAAATAATTATTTCTGCCCCATAGATTTTCCTTCCAAACCTCAAATTTCTAATGTTGTATAGAGACACTGAAAATTATTCACGCTTTGTACTCTTCCACATGTTTGTATTCCCTTGATAACTTGGCCAAACTGTGTTTCTAAAGGCTTGAATGGAGCTTTGAATGACTGTAATGCCAGAACTCTGGCAATGGAAGGAAAATTCACTTGGGGAGAACAGATTTTTTTTTTATTTGAGGAGCAATAGCATCACTCTCCTTATTCTCCTGACCCAGCTTCATCTGGCTTGGCATTGACTTAGCTGGCTTTTGGTCCTGTTCTCCAGTTTGGATAGGAATCTAAGTGAACACACAAGCCAAGGCACAATAACTGTGAAGCAGGCAGATAGCATAGCAAATATGAAGGAAGAGCATAAATATGGAAGAAATCACTGTGATAGCATGGTTTGTAAAAGATGACTGTTGGAGATCCCAAAACGGGTATAGATAGCAGGGATAAGATCTCCTAGATAACAATTCATTGTGGTACACATATAATGCAATCATATCCCAAACAGAATACTACTGACATCTTCCAACTGTCCTGATTTGGCAAGAAATTCCCAATTAACTCTATAATCCACTTTGTAGATATTTCTAAAATGTCCCTCCTCCCAATTTCCTCCTTCCAATATTTCACAGATGAAAACCAAAACATATGTTGCCATATGTTTTGGTTTTGAACTGTGAAATATCAGAAAGCATGTACTGATACCAATTTTCTAATATTAATTGAATGTTGTTTCTGCAAAAGTCCCATGAGAACAAATATTTATGTGACTGATCCACTTGAGCTTATATGTGGCAAGCGGCATTACACAACACATTAAAAGCATCTGAATAGACATGTTCTTTCCCAGGGCAATTTCGGGAGCTGCAGATACATAGGTGGGTGGCTTGCAAGTAATTAGCTCACCCCCTTCGTACAACTCAGATCTATTCGGAGGAAGCTATGAAGGCTTAAACTGGCATAAAAAATGGAGACATGCCTGAAGTATAGCTAGAATCAACATGGTGTAATGGTCTAAGTGTTGGACTGGGACCCTGGGGAAATCCCACTTGGCCACTGATGCCCACTGGGTGACCTTGTGCGCATCATACTCTCCCAGGCTCAGAGGAAGATAAGAGCAAACCATTTCTGAGCAAATTTTGCCAAGAAGCCCTACTAATATATTTTGCCTTAAGGCCACCATAAGTAAGAAATGACTTGAAGGCACACAGCAACATTGCTAGACCCACGTTGCCCATGGAATATATCCCATCCTCTGTCTGTCTTTATTCTTCCACAATGAAGAAATGTTTAGATCAGTAATTACAAATTGGTGATAACAATTCAAATATATAGAACTGCACTGATCTTTTAATTTATTGAGATATGACACTGACATGTATTTTGGTAGTATTCATGGTCACATGAGTCTATCTCAGCATATCTATATATATAATCTCGTGTCAGAAGCGACTTGAGAAACTGCAAGTCGCTTCTGGTGTGAGAGAATTGGCCATCTGCAAGGATGTTGCCCAGGGGACGAATAGATGTTTCACCATCCTGTGGGAGGCTTCTCTCATGTCCCCGCATGAGAAGCTGAAGCTCACAGGAGCTCACCCCATCTCTCGGATTTGAAATCATCAACCTTCAGGTTAGCAATTTGGCTGGCACAAGGGTTTAACCCATTGCACCTATAAAAAGATACGAAGGATTCCTATAGAAAAAGAAATTTCTAGGAAAAGCATTTGTAGACTCCGGAATGCACCTGACGAAGTGAACTACAGTTCATGACAGCTTATGCTAGGCATATCTTTTTCTTGAGTATTTTAGTGAGATCCAAAATAACTCCAAAAGGTTAGATACTGTAGCTTTATAGAGAAAATATGTTTTGTTTTGAGACAAAGGAGCAGTTAAAGGGCAAGAGGATTGCACAAACTGTTCCCAAGCACACTTACTTACTTACCTGCTAAGTGGTTGGCAATCCTGGCAATAGGTTTAGGAGGCAGGGCAGGGGGCTGTTTGATGAGGGAGAGCTGTTTCACTGGGGTGTCCTCATGGTCTCCAGAGAAAGCAGCATTTTTTTTAGGGGGGAGTAGCAAGACTGGTTTGGATGAAGGATCTTGAGATAGGTGGACTCCAGATTCACTGGACGAGAGACTCTCTTCGGACACTGGAGGACACAACCACAGCATAGACGCAACAACGTTATGAGCAAAGCGACAGCAGAGAGACACATAGAAAAGCAGCAGAGAAATGCAGATTTCTTTTTTTTGATTTTTGAAAAAACATAACTAACACAGTAGCGTTTGCTTAGACATTTAAATATATGAAAAACAGGAGTGCAAAAGAAGCAAGGAGGGGAAAAAAACTTCACAAAGAAAGTGAAAACAAAGCCTGGCACTTTCACAACAGAGAGCAGGACTTTCACTGGCAACAAAGAGATGCGGATAGCCCTATTCGAAAATGGAGTTAAGACTCTCTAGGGACAAGTCCATAGCTGGCTCTTGCTCATTTTGTTGTTTCAATTTGACTACAGCAGCACAAATGAATCAGCTGTACACAGCTCACAACACAACTCTTCAAATGGTTTTGTGCTTGGTTGTTCTGGAACCTAAGTATTCACCTGCAGTTTTAAGTGAATGGGAACACTTCAGATTCTTCTTTGGGGGAGCATTTCTGACACTGACTGCAGAATATTCTAAGATTTGTGTTGTCGAAGGCTTTCGTGGTCGGAATCACTGGGTTGCTGTGAGTTTTCCAGGCTGTATGGTCATGTTCCAGAAGCATTCTCTCCTGACATTTCGCTCACATCTATGACAGGCATCCTCAGAGGCTGTGATGGCTTCACAACTCCTGAGGAAGCCTGCCATAGATGTGGGCAAAACGTCAGGAGAGAATGCTTCTGGAACATGGCCATACAGCCTGGAAAACTCACAGCAACAAATTCTAAGATTTGTTGTTCCAAAATGCGACCTTTTTTTTGCTCTGTACAACAACAATTTAAAGATGATAAAGATAACAAATGGATTATTTTGTTGGGCCACACAAAAAGTCCATCTAACGCAGATGAGTTTGGGAAGCTCAGAAGTGAATTTTGTAGGCAGGAGCACTCTCCAGAATTATTCCTCAGCATCAGACATACAATAGCACAGCTATGTCTACAAAGGGAGGCTTGACTGAACCATGCCTTAATTTAAAACTCACTGGCAGACCTCCTCTCCAGGAACTCTCTACTTCCAGATAATTCCAAAAATCATGTATCTCTTCTGTGAAATAGACTTCCTTGTCTTTATCTGTCCTGAATTTCTGCCTTTCAATTTTATTGTATTTCGCAGAAAGAATGGTCAGTGTGGCACAGTGGTTAGAGTACATGATTGGGAGTCATATAACCTATTGGGTGATGTTGGTTAAGTCACATTGTTCCAGTCTAACCCATCTCACAGTTGCTGTAAGACTAAAGTATACTATCAACTTAACGGAGGAAAAAGCAGGCAACTAGTGCCCAAATAAATGCTTAAAATCCCCTCTAGTTAACTAAATAACTAATCAATACATAACTGTAAAAGCGTTTATCATACATTTATCTTAGGGCCCTTCCACACAGGCTCTATATCCCAGGATCTGATCCCAGGTTTTCTGTTTATCCCAGATTATCTGGTACTGCAAACTCATATAATTCAATTTAAAGCAGAAAACCTGAGATCAGATCCTGGGATATAGGACCTGTCTGGAAGGGCCCTTAGATTATTTTTCCTAAACTATAAAGTTCCAACTATTTTTGTCTATCCTTGTTGCAATGGTACACTAAACCCCAGATCATTTTGGTGGTTCTCTTCGGCACTCTTTTTAGTTTTACAACATCCATTTTTAGACAGAATGGGCAGAGAACTGTACTCAATATTCTAAACATGGCAGCAGTTTCAGATCAGTGTAAGGACACCACAATATTGTCAGTTTTAGTTTTAGTCCCTTTCCTAATGTTCTCTAGCACAGAATGTGCCTTTTTCACAGCTGCTGCTCAGTAAGCTGACATTTCTGTTGAACTCTCCCGGAACTTCCAGATTTGTTGGCAAGAACTTCGACTGGCAACATGCACTGTAAGTGATTAGTCTCAGTTTAGTAAAAAGTGTAAAATTATACAAACATTAGAAATCAAAATTATGTATGCTGTTTTGAGCAAGCCAGTTTAACAAAACATAGAAAGATGTGAAACATTGTGCATATTGGATCGTAACACTCCCCAAAATAGCCAGCTTTAGCTCTCTATGTGTTTGACCTTTGCTGGACATACATACCCTGCATTCATTTGCCTAAACAATTAATTAATACAGGCATGTTTCCTAGGTTTCAAGGTAGCTGAATCCCATATCTAGTTCTGAATGCTCTCCTGCTCCAAAAGAGAGAACATCACTTTGGATATGTTAGTAGTAGAAGTAAAAAACAAATGAACCGCTGCTTGTTATGTTCTGTGCAGCTTAGTATGGAACTCAAAGGCTACCTGTTCCATCCATAATCTCTGGATTTGGGAGTACTTCATATGTACAAGAATCTCCAGAAGCTGAACACTGCTCCAATTCAGTTAGGGTTGGGAGTGAAATCTGGCTGGAGCTCAAAGCCTGGCCATTCTCCAAAGATCCTTCTTCATGTTGTATAGGAAGTTCCCCATCTGGAAGGAAGCACAAATGAAGAAAATAAAATAAATGGGATGATCACAGCATTTTCAAAATGAAAAAAAAAACTTTAATAAGGGTGCAGACTGAAATATGTGATTCCCCCATTCTCTTAAATGGCAAACCTTCTTTAATTGCAAATTACATTTCCTAGAGATACAGTCTTAATGCGTAACATCCAGTCCTACACTTACTTACTATCAAGGAAGTCCCACTGAATTGAGATAGATGTATGTACTTCTAAGTGAACATGCCTCAGTTAGACTCACATTTATCAGGGATTAAGCCTGGTGGGCAATGGAGCCCTCCATATGTTTGACTTATAGTCCTAACCAGCATAGACAATGGGGGAGGGGGGGAGGGGGAGAAGGGATTTGTGGGATTGAAGTCAAAAGTATCTGAAAGGCCAAAGTTTCCTACTCTTGGCTCTATAAGAATGTAAGAGATTTCAGGGCAACTCTTTGTATATCTAGTTATCATTATCCAGATAACCTCAATTTCTAAAAAGTTACATGTGTAGGTAGGCATATCGGTAAGGGAAGCGTGGCTCTACCTCAATAATATGAAAGAAAAAGATGGATGAATTCAACCATATAAAAGTAGAAATTTTGCACTGCATAGAATCTTTCATTACAGATTCATATATTTTACAACACTAAAGGGAAGAACTTAAGGCTAGATTGTCACTCAGCTGTGTTGAGCTAGAGAGTTATATGAGCTAGAAGGCATGCATAGGATTATCACTATATCGAGGTGAATTGCATTTTTAAAATTTAAGTAGTAATACTAAAATTATATAGCATAAACTATACTAATGTCTTAGACAGCTTTTAAAAAAAAAGACAAATTCAAATTATAAGCCTGCCTACAGCTATAATTTGACAGTGTGCCTTTGACCCAACTCAAAAGTGCTAGTTTAAAATTAGTTTAAAGGTGGTACTCATGCAACTCTTTAGATGTTGTTGGGCTGTAATTTCCAGAGGCCTTAGCCAGCCTATTCTCCATTATAGTCCTTGGGAGGTTCCAGACAGGCAGTTATCCCAGGATGTTCCTGGGGGCCTGTCCACACCCACCCCAGAAAGCATGCACTTTCTTTGCCTTTATTCTCGTGGCTTGTTCTCGGTCTTGTAGCTCTGAACCACCTAAATTGGGCTTTACAGGCCAATGGATACTCCACCTCAAACATCAGAAGAGCTACAAGACCGAGAACAAGCCACGAGTGTAAAGACAAAGATCCACCCAGAGGAAAAGTGTTCTTGCCATAAATCAAGGGAACCACTGACCGCATAGGGAAGCTGATGAGGAAACACAACATACAAACTATCTACAGATCCACTAAGAAAATCCAGCAAATGCTACGTTCAGCAAAGGACAAGAGGGATCCTCTCACCTCTGCAGGAGTCTACCGTATACCATGCAGCTATGGACAAGTCTACATAGGGACCACCAAACGTAGCATTGCCCAAACACGAATCAAGGAACATGAAAGGCACTGCAGACTACTTCAACCAGAGAAATCAGCCAACCTGGACATAGCATATTATTTGAGAACACAGAAATACTGGACCACTCTAACAACTACCATGCCACACAGAGAAGCCATTGAAATCCACAAGCATGTGGATAATTTCAACAGAAAGGAGGAAACTATGAAAACAAACAAAATCTGGCTACTAGTACTAAAACCCTCTAAAATTAAAACAGTAAATAAAAAACAAAACTCAAAACAGGGAAACTCCAGACAAAAAACAATCAGGGACACCTAATCACTTCTCAACACAGGATGCTCCCGGGCAGTAACAAGCCACAACTAAAAACTGTCAGACCATCAAATGCTAATCGAGGTGGTGAACTGAAACATTCACACCTAACTCCAACAGACAAAGAGTTCTTTCTTCCACCCTGGACATTCCACAGATATATAAACCCAATTTTCCTAGTTTCCAATAGACCTCACAACCTCTGAGGATGCTTGCCAAAGATGCAGGCGAAACGTCAGGAGAGAATGCTTCTAGAACATGGTCATACAGCCCAAAAAACCTACAACAATCCTCATATATTGCTGTTTGAAAGGAGAAATGTAAAACTAGAATTTTATGATATCCAGGTAAGAAATTGAGATTTACAGAGGTTGAATGGAGAAGAAGCTTTAGAAAAGTAATGTGAAAAAAGCTATGTGAAAAATGTCTAAGTCTAAGAAAAAATTAAATTGGACCATGGGTGCCAATGTATCTCTTTTACTGCAAGGAAAACATTCTTGATTATGCTATGGAATTTCAAAGAAAGTAAAACCAAGGATAAACTCATTTACTTCAGTACTCCTCTTCTGAGTTGCAGAACAAAAGTATTATGTGGCTTAATGTAGCACCTTGAATATCATGAGAATCACCTCGTGCCTGCAGTTGCAAGTGAAGAGTGTGAAATCAATGCCAGGTTGAAGTCAACTGGAATTGCAAATGTAATCTAATTTTATACCTCCCCTGGAAGCTGATGTACTGAAGGACACATTGGAGGAGGATTAAGAATGTAATCTTCTGCATGTCAGCGGGATGCTACAATTTTGTACACATTAACTCAGGTGTAATAGTTGTCATTAACTACTATCATATCAACTTCAACTTGTGTTAACTCTATGAATGAGACACCTCCAAATCACCCTATTAATATCAACCACTCTACTCAGGTTTTGCCAATTTAGGATTGTGTCATCCTTGAGTCTATCCATTTATAATATTGTCTTCCTATTTGCTTACTGTCTTCTGTCCTAAGTCCCTGCCACACAATTGAGGTTGAAACTGTCTTATATTGTGAATGTAGATTCATATAATGCAAACTGAATTGCACTGAACTAAATTATATGAGCCTATACTGCCATATAACCCAGTAGATGGGATCCTACCAAGCATTTCTGTTTTCTTCTTCTAGTGAGTCATGTCTTTGCAGGGCATGGCCAAAGTATGAGTTTAGTTGTTTTGAGTTCTCAGAAGATTCAGGCCTGATTTGCTCTATGGTGCATTTATTTGTCTTTTTGGCACTTTAGCAACCACATTTCAAATGATTTGATTTTCTTTCAGTCCGCTTCCTTTCCTGTCCAGCTTTCACAATCATTCATAGAAATAGAAAATATGATGGTATAAACATTAATAACTTGAGTATTCAATAATATATCTTTACACTTCAGGACTGTATCTAGTTCCTAGTGCTGGGACATTCCTTAAAACTGTAAGATATCATGACTTGCAAAATCTCATTTGTGTCTGTATGTGTGTGAAAACTGAGTTAAATCTTAACTTGCATTAAGATTTTAACCGGTAGCACAGCAGTTAAAGCTGCTAGCTGCAGGCAAGACTGCTGACCGGAGGGTCAACAGTTCAAAGCCATGAGTTGGGGTGAACTCTTGACTGCCAGTTCTAGCTCCTGCCAACCTAGCAGTTCAAAAGCATGCAATGCGAGTAGATCAATAGGTACCACCTATTGAGAATGTAAAAGGGCGCCCATGCAGACAAGATGGCAAAAAAGATTGGAGATGTCTATGGACAGCAGGCTCCTTTGGCATGGAAAATAGAACAACAGAACCTCACCATGGCTGAAAGCTGAGCATTGTCTCCAGTCGTTGGAAATGGAAAAAGGAGAAGGCCTTACCTTATCTGTGTATTGTATGTTGTTTGTATAAAAGGCATTGAATGTTTGCCTTATAAATCCACTCTGTGACCCTCCAGGGAGATAAAGCGGAATATAAATAAAGTGTATTGTATTGTATTGATATCAACGAAAGCTGAAACATGGATCAAGAGACTCAGAAAACTGGAAAGGTTCAGAAGATCACTAAGCCAAACCTCTCCAGCAAGGTTCTTAGGCATCTCAACCCTGAATAATTTCATGCCATCGAATGTAATGTGCACTTCAATTTTGGCAATGCAATTTAACCAAAAAAGGTGAGCGTTAGGACTTGAGTAAATATGGTAAACAATGCAAGCTTTGGAGTTACTGCTTTATTTGACATGCAGGATGGAGTTCCAAACTTTGTAAACAAAATTTTGTAGTCTGCAATCATTATCTGCTTACATCATGCCACTTTTCCCTGTACGACACATTTCAGAACTGTGACCAGATGTTTCTTACCTTTATCAAAAATTTCCTTCAACACTCCTCTCTTGATAAGCTCCTCCCTGCTTTGCCTCATTGATATTTTTCTTTCAAGTGCTATAAAAAAGAGGAAACAAAGGCATTATTATATTAACAGGATTTTTTAAAAAGTAAGAAAACTCAACAATTAAAAAGAAATGTCTTGTTATTAAATTATTCCTAATAGATGAAAGGCTAGTAATTCATTCCTACTATCTATTAGCATATAATTTCAACATGAAATAGTAACATATGAAATCCAGTTTTGTTATTTTATTTCTTTATTTTAAAATTGATTTTAAAATGTTTTAAGAAATGAAGATTATTCAATAAACTTCTCAGTCCTATCGACAAATCTGAAACGTCAAACAGAAGTTCATCACAGAATTATGTTGTCAGACCTAGAGATTTCGAGACAAGTGTTTCCTCTGATTAAAAAAAGAATTGTGTTTCTTTTACTTTCATGGGGATATTGTGCTCCAAACTCTACTGTACTTGAATCAGATAGCTAAGAGTCCCAAATATAGACAGATTTCATATGATTCTGAGTAACAATAGTTTTAGACCAGTTGTTGTCCCCCTCAAAGAGTATACATTGCAGAAGGAACATGTAAAGTCATGACTAAAAAACACTGTAAAGGTTACTGACCTAGATGGCTTTAAAAAAGTATGCAAATAAAGCAATAATCATGATGTCGAAGGCTTTCATGGACGGAATCACTGGGTTGCTGTGAGTATTCCAGGCTGTATGGCCATGTTTCAGAAGCATTCTCTTCTATCATTTCACCCACATTTATGGCAGGCATCCTCAGAGGTTGTGGGGTCTGTTGGAAACTAGACAAGTGAAGTTGTCTAATTTACACTTGCCTCAAGCAGACAAGAGTTCTTTCTCCCACCCTGGACATTCCACAGATATATAAACCCCACTTGCCAAGTTTCCAACAGACCTCAAAACCTCTGAGGATGCGTGCTATAGATGTGGACAAAACATCAGGAGAGAATGCTTTTGGAACATGGCCATAATAATAATAATAATAATAATAATAATAATAACAACAGCAGCAACAACAGCAACAACAACAACAACTTTATTTTTGTGCCCTGCCTCCATCTCCCCGAAAGGATTGGGGCGGCTTACATGGGGCCAAGCCCAATCAACACAGTTAAAATGTAACCCATTAAGATGCATAGAACAGAATAAAACAAAAATAAAACAACATTATAACAATATATAAAATAACCATCAAAGCCAACAACCAATAATATTCAATTTCTCATTGTGGATGGGCAGACCGGTGTAACAACAATTTAAAGGATAGAGCTAGTGGGTAAAGTGAATAGGTCATATAGCAGCAGTAAGGATAAGAGCAATGTAAAATAGGTCAGTTCTAGCTTTGGGTAGTAAAGTGTGAGGATAAGATTTTTGGTTCCTAGCTGGGGCCAGCTATCTAGAGAATTATCTAGTCAAAGGCACACATCCACATCTTAAGTACGGTCCTGAAGGCTCATAGCAACCGAAAACAATAATCCTTTTCAATTAGCCTTACATACATATGAACCAAGGTTTGTCATAGCAAGTCTGCAAGAAAGGGCATTCAATTACCAAACCCAAGAAGAGGAGGACTGATGAGTTACATAACAAGTTATTTTTACCTATTCTTGTTATTTGGGGTGGGGTGCAGGATCCTTTGGGTGGCATTTTAATTGTACTTCTCATATTTTAAGCCACTAAAAGGCATTTAAAATGTTCTCCCTTTGCAAAAGTTTTAAAGAAGCAGTAAGTAAGGTTTTTCCAGGGTCTGCTTTTACATTTACATTTCAAGCCTCAAGTTTGCTTATGTGGGGGCTGCTTCATAAATCTTAAGATGTCTTTAAAATGATTTCCTGATACTAGATTATTTCTAGAGATAGAAAAATATCTTCTCAACAGTTGTTTTTTTTAATTTGTTGGCTGTTTTCCAGAATGGTCTTAAAAATGCATGACAAGCTCTTGGTTCAGTTGCCATTGTAATGCATGGCAAGAGAATGCCTGACTTCTTTCAGTGGTACAAGATCTGATCAATGAATTATTTATTTCTACATAGGCGACCTTTCAGGAACTTTGCAAACCTCTTATTTCCTGCTCTTTGCAAGAGATAATTGCATATGCTGTGCCAAAACTCTTCCCTAGGAAGTCAGGTTTTGCTGAATTTATCACAAGGCACTGGTTCCCACTGAGAAGCAGGTGCAGGTTTCTGTGATTTTGTCAGATATGAGAAAATATGTTTTTAATGATCACTTTCTATTTTAGGCAACTCAGCCTAAATTTTGCTACTGTTAACTGTTGTCAAGTCAACTTTGACTTATGGGGACCCCATGAATGAAAGACCTCCAAGTCACCTTATCTTCAGCAGCCATGCTGAGATCCTGAAGATTCGGGATTGCAACTTCCTTAATTGAATCTATCCATCTGGAATGCAGTCTTCCATTTTCTCACTGCTTTCTATCTTACCAAGGATCAATGTCTTCTCCAGTGAGTCATGTCTTCTCATAGTTTGTCCAAAGTATGACAGTCTCACTTAAGTCAACTTGCCTTCCAGGGAGAGTTTAAGTTTCATTTTTTCTTGAACCTATTTATTTGCCTTTTTAGCAGTCAATAATACCCACAGAACCCTTAGGCAATATTGGATATGTGTAACTCTTATGGTTGGCATCATATCTGCTCTTAACTGAACCTTCAGGTGTACAGGTACTGAGAATACCTTTACTCTGGTCATTTCCTTATGCTTTTTGCTTGGGTGTAAGACAATTGTTTTGTTTCCTTACCTGTTGCTTGGCTATTTCTTAATTTTTTGTGTTATCATGACCCTACAGTTGACCCTGCTAGTTTGCAGCAAAAATCTTCAGCATTAAGGCAGTGCTTACCACACTGGCTGTCTAAGCTGTGCCATAGTGCACAGTGGTGTGAGTGCTGGATTGTGACTCTGGAGATCAGGCTTCAAATCCTCTCTGGGCCATAGAAACCTACTTGTAGGCTCAGCATCCGCACACAAAATGGCATCTATCATTTCTAAGCGCATGAGGAATTAATTAGATTCTTTGCTAGAGGTCAGTGGACAGACCTGGATGGCACTGGTAGACAAAATATCTACAAAATGTTCAGTTATGATCTAACCATGCTGAAAGAACACTATATCCTGCTCCTTGTGTCTTCTTGGTGAGCAGCTTTCTTGTAATCCTGAACATCTTTTTAAACATTGCTTTAAAATATCTTACAGAAACAAACATAACCAACCAACAATGCTTCTCAGATCCATCACAATGAGGTGCACTATGTTTGTGTTTCCTGACTATCGAACTACAAAATCTCCAGCTGATATGATAACAATTATAACAGGGAATAAGTCCCATTTTATGTAACCATTCTAATTGAATATCAAACTTGATATATATTTATATTTATATATTTCCGAGCCCTGGGACTCAAGGCTGCTTTGAAAATGTACAACACATATATCACACAGTCTATCAGTAGAATTAAGGCTGTGTGGAAGGACCCGAGGTCAACTGTCTAGCAATTCTAGGATCTTCGTCAGAAGATCTCAAAAAACAGGCAGGCATTATGTGGAGATACGGTCTATCAGTCTGAACCTAAGACCTATGTATTGCCCATAAACAGCACTGAATTATGCCTGGAAGTGGATCCAATACCAGTGGAACTGTGTGGTCCCTGTAGCCAGATAGAGATTTAGCTGTGGTTTCTTGGACCAGATAGCATAACACTAATCACAGTAGGATGTAACTCAATTATTTGTCACTTGAGAAGACAATCATATGGAAGCAGGTCCCCATAGCAAGATGATCTTGTAGGAAGCAACTCATATAGTAACTAAGAATTCCAGCACACATGCTAGGATTCTGTCCACTATTTCACACTGCAAGGAGGTTTATAATTTGAATCAGAAGTCCATAATGCTTGGATGTTCTTGCTGACCAAGCCCCCACCCCAAAACAATGGCTAATCCTACTCATTTAGATGCCTCCCCTCACTGTTCCTTTATATGAACTGGGATCAGTGGGGCAGAGTTGGTGGCAATCAGAGACTGGAAAGCTATTGAGTGCTATATGTTGGACATTAGTGTTTAGACACTCTCTGCTCTATTTTGGGAAGACAAGCTGCACCAAAGAGCCAACAAGACATATTCACTTCTTTAAAAATCATGAAAGAGCAATACAGCAATTTAAAAAGTGAAAACATGGGAATTGTATACACAGGCTGTTATTTAAGGATAAACTCTGAAGAATATAAATGGCAGATAGGTTGATTTTGATGATTAACTGCTCACAACACACATTTCTCCCGATCTCTCAGTGGCACAGCTATATTTTTCTAGGTATTATTCAGGGGGTGTCACCAATGGTCATCTCATTGTGATGGCCACAAAGTAATATTTTTCTGTTTAAGTAGCCTATTTTGTTTTCACTGGGAATCATTTTCTCTACCAACTCAGGTATCAGTTGCTGAAAATTCTCTCTGTGGGTGTATAGCTATGAAGGATACTGTTGAATGAACAAAATCAAACTATAAATAATAAGAACAGCATAACACTGTATCTGTGGAACTGATATGTGCAGTTTCAACTATCCACAGTTTCACTTTATTATACAGGGCTTTCTCTACAATCTCTTCTTGATACTGCCACCATTTGTCCCATTGAAAATAGTAAGATTTCTTATTCTCTGCCATTTCATGCGCCATACAAAATCCAGGAATGTATCCCCCACAGATATGATAATTGTATCGTGCACGAAATCTCAATGGCAGACAGGACAAAGAATTAAAACCTCCCTACACTCTTTGCTAAGATCCTCGGGAGCAAAAAGAGCACTAACAGAAGCAAATGTCTCATAATAAATATAGCATACACAATATGATCCCCTTATCCAGAGATTTGACATCCACAGTTTCGCTTATCATCATTCCAAAGAATACACATACACACCCTGGAAGTGTTTGAGGACTTGTCTTTGTCCTCCAATGTGATTTTATGGCATTCTTCTGGCTCAAGTGAAATCAGAAGATATGGTTTGCTATTATC